GATCGTAAGCAGGCTGAGCATCTAAGAGGGTTCTCTTATTTCAGCTTTTGTCAAGTTGACGTGAGATTAGCTGGCACAACACTCACACGTTAAGTGGCTGCCTAGAGTTCAGTCATATAACCCTTGTTCCATTTTCACGGTGCTGGACAGTCATGTGGCTCCCAGGTTTTATTATCTGAAATGATGCTGCAATGAACAATCTTTTCCTTCTCTTTGGATCGTAAACTTTGGTGACTGGGGTTAGTTCATACAGTTACGACTCGTTTATTTGAAGAGGGAACATTCATAATTTTTATTTTGTTCTGGGCATTAAGTGAATTAGTGTTTCTTTCACAGTATTCTCACAAATACTATGTAAACCCAAATGCCATAAGCAAAATGAGTTCTCTCTTTCCGCTCTTGTGGAAGGATTGATTCCACCTCTCCACAGCAGAGCACAGGGCAGGCACAAAGCCAAGGTTCGGCTCCTTCCTCTTCAAATACGGTCTAGAGCTGGCAGCAGGCGCTCTTCTGAGCGTTGGCAAATCCTCAACAAGGCACCACAGTCCACAGCATTTCCCCTCAGGCAGCCTGAGAGATATTCTGTGCCTCGCTCTATGTTCTTTTGTGCTAGTGCCTGGGCACGTCTTTGGAATGCAAGGGTGCCATCTTGTGGAACTTGTATTGAATTCTTATTTGAAAGTGTCTGTAGTGATACCACAAGTGATTCCTGGGAGCACCTTTTTCTCTCTTCGGCTCATTTACCCGACAGCAGTGAAGTGGTTGTAATGTCAATTTGCATGCCACATTTTGAGAATATGCGCTCTTTCTTATGATGATTCTTAATGTGCCTGAATTAAAACATGATTTCAATTAAAATGTGTTATTTGTTTATTCTGTGTGTGGATGAAAAAGTACAGAGTAGCTCTGGGGAGTCCAGTTTTTCCTTTCCACCATGTGGGTCTGGAGGATTGAACTTAGGCCATCAGTGTTGGCAGCAGGGGCCCTTAGCCACTGATCCATCTCATAGGCCCCTGAATATTTATTTACTTTTGAGACTTGTCTCTCTACATAGTCCTGGCTGTCCCTGAGCTCTATGTAGACCAAGATGGCCTTGAACTCAAAGAGATACTCCTGCCCTCTGCCTCCCCAGTACTGGGATTAAAGGCATGAGCCCCTGAACTGTTAAAAAGAGTTACAATTTATTGTATTTTGCAGTGCTTGGCTGCAAAAATCAAACGGAGCTCTGGACAGATTTGATTCCTAAAGTTTAGTACTTCCTCTGTCCTGTGCTGCTCTCTCTACGCAGCTATGTGCTCATGCACAGTTTGCAAAGTTCTGACTATGTGCCAGAGTTGTTCGAGGTTTCAGGAGCCCAGCAGTGAGTGAAAACATGTACCTGCTGTTGTAGAATTACATCCTGACTGGTCAAGCAGTCTCATTAGACAGAAAACACACTTTTATACTCTCAAGTGATGATCCCACAGCTGGAGGATAGGCCTGCTGGAGACTGGGCTGAGGAATCTTTTTTTTTTTTGTATGTATACATGTGTGACACCCATATGCCATTGTTCACATGTGTGTGGAGGTCAGAGTATATGCTCTCCTCCCACCAGGTGGATCCCATGGATCAAACTCGGGTTGTCAGGCTTGGTGGCAAGCACCTTTATCTGTTGAGCCACGTCAGTGCCTCTCATTTCTGATTTGCATACACTGTGGCTGCCACAGGTCTTCAGCTTAGTATATGGGACACACACTGCTGCAGTCTCAGGCCACAGTTGGAACCCAGCACTGTCTTCCCAGCACTGTCGTCCGTAGTGAGAATTTTGGCTTCTTTAAAAACCGTGTTATGTTAAGTGACTGTTTTTGTTTTAATCCTAGGTGTGGGATATGGGGCTGCTTCAGTTTGTCCACAGCTGTTAACTATGATTGTCTTACACTAGTAGGGGCGGCAAGATCTTTACAGCTGTAGAGTTTAGTTTTGGGAACTCTTGAGAGGGTAAAAATGCCAGAGGCCAGCTTGGAACTTGTGCATGTAGGGTGAGTGCTCCGAAGAAGGCAGCAGTGGCCGCTGCTCCCCTCTTCTGCTCCTGGTTGCTGTTGTTGAACTTTGAGAAGTTGGAGATCTCCTGACTATGGAAGACTGGATTTGCCCCAAGGAACCTGATGATCCTAAAGAGCAGGAAGTAGCTTAAAGAGACCACCCCCTTTTTCTCTCTAACCTGTCTCTCTTACCTGCTATTAGGGTGTTGGAAGGAATTGGGGAGAAGTGTGGGAGATATAAAGCAGCATTAACAAACACAGCAACAGTCTTCCCTGGAAAATTTTATTCTGCAATTCCTTAGTGTTGGACACTGTTGCAGGCAGTCCTGACAGGAAGGCCCTTGGAGCCACCTTGTACACATTAGCATGCTTCTCTGGGGCATCTGTTCAGGAGCTAAGCTCACTCTAGGTTTCCTGAAGTCTGCCAATCTATGGCCAGCAAGCACAAGGATCCTGTTTCCCTGAGTCCTTGCTAACCTTTGCTACATCACATTTCTGTCTTCTGCCAATCTGATAAGCATGGATTGGTTCTGTTTTAGTCTGTGCTCCGCTTACTCATGAGCTCAGAGCTTTCATCAGTCTGTGTTCTCAGCTCTCATGGCAAATGTAGTCATCAGCTGCTTTGAATTCTCTTCTCTCCTCTTTCCACTCTTCTCCATCCCCTTCAGCTGCTCCTCTCTGTTTCTCTCCCCTTCCCTCTCTTTCTGATATACTTTCTCACTTTTGTCCACATTTGCATCAAACCCTTGAGCTCAAGTGATCTCCACAGCCTCCTAAGTAACTGGAATTATGGGAGCATCCAACTGTGCCAGCCTTTTGGCTTGTTTCTCCGAGTTGTGACACAGCCTTTAATCCCAGTACTCGGGAGGCAGAGGCAGGAGCATCTCTGAATTTGAAGCCAGCCTAGTCTAGATAGTGAGTTCTAGGACAGCTAAAACTACCTAGTGAGACCCTGTCTCAGTAAAACAAAACAAAGAAACATATAGGAAGGTTAATAAGGAGTTATAGTTGGGATATTTTTTATCTTTAATGCATTTATCATTTATTTGTGTGTATATGTATGTATGTATGCATGCATGTATGTATACATGCATTCACAGGCTAATGGGAAGATCTCTCTCACACTATGCGTGAATCCTGCTTCTGTCTCTCATCTCCTGTGGGAATGCTGGAATTTGAGGTGAGCCACCACATCCAGTTCTACACGTGGGTTTGAGAGTAAACTCATGCCATTGAGCCCATGCAGCAAATGCTTTCACCTGTAAGCCACCTCACTGGCTCCTGTACCTGGGATCTTAAACTTCCGAAAAGACCCATGTTTCAGGGTTTGGTGACCATCTTGGCACCGTTAGAATGCAGTGCGCTTCCTTCATGAGGGACTGTGGTCTGCAGGCCATGTAAGCTGAAATAAACTCTTCCCTCCCCAAGTTGATTTCAGTCATGGTTGTCACAGCAACAAAGACAACTTAGAACAGACACTGGCACCAGGATCATGGGGTACTGCCCTGGCAGACCTGACCATGCTCTTTTGGGGAGGACCTTGGAAGGAATTTGGGATTTTGAGCTAGAAAACAATTGAGTGTTCAGAGCTCAACAAGCTATGATGTGTGAGCTTGGAAGATAGGAATACTGAGAGCAGTGCAGACAATAGAGGCCTTGCTTGTGAAGCTCCAGAGGGAAGCAAAGGTGTTATGGAGCCATCTTTATGATATTTTGAATTAAGAGTCAGTGTTTTCTAATCAGCTGGGGCTGAAGAGTCATCTGTGACTAGTAGCAGACCAGCCTCACTGAGGTCTCATCTTCTGGGAAGTGTCTCCTCAGGGTCAGCACACAGAAGCTGTGGTCCAGAGAGCTGCATCTTAGGCCTGGAGCACAATGCCTGAGTCTTCCATGTGGTACTGGTTCTGGTGGTATGAGAACTTCAGGGTAGGAGGGTTGGCACCATGAGAGGCCAGTGTGGTGGCTATCACCTCTTCTTGTGTGCTTGGTTCCATTTACACAGCTTCAAAGAATCATCAGAGCACGCCTTTTACAAGTGTGTGCATGACACTTTCTTGCTGCTCTCTAACTGAAGCTCTTCCTGCTGCTGCTTCCCAGGTTCTGGATTACAGGCTGCTGTAACGGAAGAATTTGTAGAAGCTGTATCTTCTAGATACCAGTCCTCATTGGATATATGATTTGTGATTCCTTATTCTATGAGTTCTTTTCTCTTTCTTGGTAGTCTCTTTCGAGCACAAGTTATCACTTTGAGGAAGATCACTTTATACACCTTTTGTCTTGTGCTTTTGGCATTGTATCTAAGAAAACAAAAACAATTCCAGTGTCATGAAGCGTTCTGTTTTACTCCCAAGAATTTTATTTCTTACAATTAGTGCATTGATTCATTTTGAGTTTTTTTTTTTTTAAGGTAAAATATAAGGATTCAACCTCACTTTTTCATGTGGATATCTAGTTTTTCTAGCACAATCTGTTGAAAAATTAGTCCTGTCTTTATTTAACGTTCTGGGCAGCCTTACTGAAAATCATCTGACTCCTCTGTGAGGGTCTCTACTGTAGTCCATTGGTCTAGAGGTATGCACAACCTTCTGGAATTGAGGTGCCTCACTGTCATCGTCACTTTTCGTCCCAGTACCAGGGAGGCAGAGGCAGGTGGATCTCTGTGACTAACTATCAAGTTCTAGGCCAGGCAGGGTAACATAGTGAGATCCTCTCTCGAAACAACCCAAGCCCCAAACTACCATGTTCTCAGCAGTTAAAGGACAAGGTGCTTGAGAGATGGCTCAAAAAGTTAAAGCACATCCTGTGCTTGAAAAGGACCTGGGTTTGGTTTCTGGCACATACACAGTGGCTCACCATCCATGTAGATACAAGGCGTATATACATACGTTTAGCTAAGACACTTACACACTTAAAATAAAATAGATAAATCTTAAAAAAAAAAGTAGACAACAGACCAAAATGATGATACCATCCAAGTCTAGCTTGTGACTTAATGAATTTATTGGGATTAAGTCAGGGACATGGGTGAGGGGTTACTTACAGGAACAGGGACTTCCACATACATGCCCACTTGTACACACATATATAAACATGTACATAATCTCCCCATAACATTATTTCATATTTATTTTATTGCCAACTATTTTATAGTGCCATGTTGACTGTTTCCCACAACCCATTTTATCTTACCTTATGCGACTTTGATCTTATGATCATTTGTGTGTATGTGTGTGTGTGAGTGTTGGGGCTGGAAGTCAGTTTACAGCTTATTAGGAGAGTGTGGTACACAACTGTATCCTATGCTGGCTGAGCTCCCAAACGTGTGTTTGGCAGAGAACACTGTATATTAAAAAAGCATGAAGAAATTTAAAAAGCAAGCCTGTTTTCTTGTATCAATGTAAACACTTTGTCCTGCTTCCAGACACTGTCACTTACATGTTTTCAAGGCAGGGAGCATGCTGCCAGGAGACAGTCAGGCAGGATAGGAAACAGCAAAGACACTGGGGCAAGTGTGTCAAGTGCATTTACTCCCTAGGAGCGTCACAGCTTTTGGAACCAGCACCTGTCTTGAGAATAAAGCCCCTCCCTGATGGCACTTGTTCAGCCCTTAGGAAGCACATCACGTTCTCCCGTTCAAGCACTCAGTGATGGCCTTGGCCTCCAGTTTCCTAAAGCATCACTTTGCATACAGGCCTCTGACAATGCATTGTGTGTTCATAAGGAAACACCTGTGTAATGAAAACCTACCAAGAAATTACTGAGTGAGAGCTGGTGCGATGGTTTATCAGGTAAAGGCACTTGAGGGTAAAGCTTATGACTTGAAGTCAGTCTCTGGGACTCCCATGGTAGGAGGAGAGAACTGGCTCCGACAGGGAGGGCTCTGATTTCCACGGTGGCACACACTTATATGCACCTCCTCAGCCCCCAGATCCCCCAATCAGAAAATGAGTACATGGCACCTTACATGCCAAAGCAACTCAATAAAGACTTATATCCCAAATCCTGGCACTTCGCTTCGAGCAATGTAGTTGCTACAAATCTTTTCCTTAAAAAGGGCCCCTGCCAGCTTGTCTCCAGACTTCCTTCACTCCCTTAATGCTTTCCCTCTTCACGCATTTCCAGTATTCTTGAACACCCTGATGCTGCGGCACCTGTCAAACAGAGAGAAGATCAGCAGTCACCGGTGTTCAGGCGAGGCATGGCGTCATGTCTACTATGGCCTTAACCACACTTCTCTAAAGCAAGCTGAAGATGGGTTACTTTTATATGTTAATCCCTTCACATGTGCTGTGGGCATCCTTGTAAATTAATTTTTTTCTATGTTGCAAATGAATATCCTTGTTATGAGCACATGTGTCACATTCTCCATTAACCTCTTTCCTGTCTCTCATTCTAACTTCCTACTGTCTTTGTAGAGGCTCTAGACCCAAGTTATGCTGATGAAAATTTCCTTCATTAGAGTACTTCTAGTAGATGCCAGTGCAAACAAAATTCTGGGCTGTGTTGTCCCCAGTCAGAGCCCAGCACATGACTGAGAGCTCTGTGTGCTTTAAGTCTAGTTCCCAGTGGAGCCACTGCTGGTAGAACCCATTAGTTCTCTGTAATTATATAGATGAGGTAGCTGAGGCACAGAGAAACTAAGCGGCTTTTCAAGATTCATCAGTTAATACACGACAGAGCAGGATTTGAACCTAGAAATAGAAACTGAGGTCAGATCCAAAGTCAGATTTTTTTTTTTTTTTTTTTTGAGACAAGGTTTCTCTGTGTAACAGCCCTGGCTGTCCTGAAGCTTTGTAGACCAGGTCAGGTGTGATGGTGCACTGTGGATCACTGTGCGTTCCAGACCAAGGCTGATTTTTGAATAGTGGTTTTCCATTACGTTCAGATTTGTGTGCGTGCATGGATAGCCAAATGTATGTGCATACATGTACACAGAGGTCCGCCTTGGGTGTCAGTCACTGGTGTGAAGCTCAAACAGGCTGCTCTGGCAAGATGGCAACCCCACGGCCCCAGCTGTCTCTGCCTCCCCCAAAATGAGATTCCAAGCACAAGTGGCAGTGCCTGGCATTTACATGGTGGACTCTGAGGACTAAACTCAGGTCTTCACTAACTGAACCATTTCTGCAGACTCAGGTTATTTTTAAAGCAAAGAAAATGCTAACTAGTATTCTTTGTAAAAGATGGTTCAGTGTACTGGTCATAGTGAATAATCTCTGTATGAATGATTAAGATTCCACTTAACAGATGACATTTGCCCTAAATTCTAGGCTTAATACCATTGTCACTAACATGTAAAAAACAGAGTTTAAACAGACAAACAAAAATATTTTACCCATAAACCTCGATGCATCCTGTTTTTCAATACTCCAAGAAACTCCTCATGGCTGAGGCATTCATCACCATCCAGGTCAAAGATCTTGAAGACAGTGTCCAAAATATTGTTTGAGAGCTCTTGTCCAGTTGCTACTTTCACAGCTCTCTTAAACTCCGCTAAAAAGCAAAACAAGAAACTGCCAATCACTCAAGTCTAGAGTGGATTTAATCCACATTTCCAGTGTTTGAGATGTAAACACAAAAATACCCACAGGAGTAAATTCAAATCATGCATTAAGTAGGGAAGTGTCATGAAAGTAACTTGAGCCATTTCAACTTGATCAAGGCTCCCCATAACATACTCAATTCTGTTCCCTTCCCCCTTCTTGAGAATAAGAAAGTAAAAGAAATAAAGCAACTCTTGAGTAAGTGTGTTGATGCTATGAACTGAAAATAAGCAAGATGCATTATTTTATTGTTAATCATCTTCTTGACTGGTATCATCTACTGATTAATGGAACTACTTCTAGACAACAAAAATGAAATGATTCGTATCTTACCCAGTCTCACAGGGCGATGAGCTAAACTAAACATTTGCATGGCGATAGCAAAGTCTTCCAAATGCGTTGTAAAATGGCAAAATGACTTGAACTCATCCAAACTAATGCTCTAGTAAAATAAAGGGTTTTAAAAATTACAATTTTGTATATACATCGAAATCTTATTGCTGCCAAGTCTTCTATCCTAAAGCTAATGAACTTTAGATCCCTCTAAGCAAGCTGATAACATGTTGAAGACACACAGTAAGAAATGGATTCTACAGCTGAGGAATGTCCACAGGAGTGAGGGCTACCATGTGACCATGGGTCCTTCCTAGTTTCCTTATTCTCATTAGAAGACTGCAGAGGTAAAGTGAGGTCATGGGTAGGCTGTAGCCCAGGGAGGCTCATGTCTAAGGGACGACACATTAGCACTGATTACTGCTTTTATTCCCTTTCTCTGTGGATATGTGCACACACCCAGAAAACAGCAGCCATACAAGGACCCAGAAGACACAGTGTAGAAGCTAAGAGGCATTTCACCAAAACACAGTATAAACTCAGCCTTGCTGGTACTTTAACCTTAGACTTCAAGTCTCTAGAACAGAGAAGGCAGGCTTCTGTGCTTTGTCTACAGTCAAGGAGACTAATACACCTTCTTCAGTGTGTTTACCAGAGTGCAGGGAACTGAACAAGATGGCCTATGCTGAAATTCAGCTCTGCCATCTACAATGTGTATGCTCTTAGCCTAAATCTCAGGTAGGCAACTCTTAGGTTTCTTTGTTCAACATCTGTGGAGTAGAACAACTGAGATGTGAACCCTAGTCTATCTAGTTTCAGTATCTATGGACCTAAGACCAAACAAAAACTATGATAAAAAGCTACTTTTGCCAGTAAAAAGAAATCAGACAGAAAATCCTCCTCCTTTAACTGATGCTGCCCAGACTGATTTCAAACTCACTGACTGTGTCAGTCTCCAGAGTAGCCAGGTTACAGGTACTTGCCCGCAGAGCCACTGTGTTAAAGTTCTTTTTATTTTCATTTTTCTTTTGAGACAGGGTTTCTCTGTGTAGCCATGGCTGTCCTGGACTCACTTTGTAGACCAGGCTGGCCTCAAACTCAGAGATCTGCCTGCCTCTGCCTCCCTGAGTGTTGGGATTACAGGCATGTGCCACCACACCCACCTAGTATCAAAGTTTTTTAAAAAATTATCTTTTTATTAATTATAATTTATTCACTTTGTATCCCAACTGTAACTCCCTCCCTCAATTCCCTCCCAATCCTACCCTCTCTCCCTCTTTGCCCATGACCCTCCCCCAGTCCATTGATAGGAGAGATCCTTCTCCCATCTGATCCTAGCCTATCAGGTCTCATCAGAAGTGGCTGCATTCTCTTCCTCTGTGGTCTGGTCAGGCTGCACCCCCCCTCAGGGGGAGGCGATCAAAGAGCAGGCCACTGAGTTCATGTCAGAGACAGTCCCTGTTCCCATTACTAAGGAACCCACTTGGACACTGAGCTTCCATGGGCTACATCTGTGCAGGGGTTCTAGGTTATCTCTATGCATGGTCCTTGGTTGGAGTATCAGTCTCAGAAAAGACCCCTGTGCCCAGAGGTTTTTTTTTTTTTCTTTCTCTCCTTGTGGAGGCTCTTGCCTCCTCAGGTCTTCCTATCTCCCTCTTCTTTCATAAGATTCCCTGTACTCTGCCCAAAGTTTGGCTATGAATCAAACTGGGTCCTCTGCAAGTGCTCTTAATCACTGAGCTATCCCTCCAATCCCTGCAAAAAAAATTGTAAGGAATATATGCCCAAGCCAGAGAAGACTGCAGTGGTGTGAAGGGATGGTCTTCCTCCTTTGATCCCTCTTCCCATCTCAGTGCAAAGGCAGCAACAGTGCATGTATGCTTCCAGAAATACACAGCTCCTACAACAGCAGCTGTGTACCTCAAATAACACAAACCGCCTGTCTGAACTTGGGAACAACCTCTTCTTCACACATTTCTACACTCTGCCTTCTTTTTCTCACAGTGAATTTTTCAGCACAGTTGTGAAACAACGAGTGTTTCTCTGTATCATATCTTGATGTTGAAACAGGCCTCGAGTGCCAACCTTCTGATGTCTCCTTTCTTTTCTTTTCATTATGCCCTGAGATGTGACCTCAGCCTCTTGTGCTTGCTAGGCTCTTCCAACAGGTGGAAATGGCATCTTGTTGGCATCTGAACTTGTACATCCTCAAAATGAGGTTTTACATTGCTCATATGTGATTTCTCTTCTTGTAACTTTATGTCCTGTCCTGGTGAGGGTTATCATTGCTGTGATATAACATCACAACCAAAGCAATTTGGGGAGAAAAAGGCCTGTTTGGCTTATGCTTTCAAATCTCTGTTCTTCATCAAAGGAAGCCAGGACAAGAACTCGAAGCAGCACTGGAGCCTGAAGTGGATGTTCAGGTCATGGAGGGCGCTGCCTACTGGCTTGGTCCTCATGGCTTGCTCAGCTTGCTTTCTTACAGCACCCAGGACCACAAGCCCAAGGATGGCACTGGTACCATCCACAATGAGCTGGGCCCTCCACCATCAAGCACTAATTAAGTAAATGCCCTGTAGGCTTGCCTATAGCCTGATCTTACAGAGGCATTTTCTTAATTGAGGTTCCCTTCTCTCAGATGACCAGAGCTTATATCAAACTGACATAAAACTATCCAGTACATGGTCTTTTCCCCACAATTGGTAGGCTGCTGGGTGGCCTCTTTTCAGCAGAGGCACAACTGCCTTTTTAGTTCCTGAACATCTTCCCAAGGATGTATGCATCATTGGCAGCCCTGAATACACAGTGTTTTCCCCAGACAAAGGACAACTTTGCTTACTGTTAACATAATGAAAACAATGCCTCTTTCTGCAGCAAGGGTCAGGAAACCTTGCTTCCTGGCTCTTCTGAAAGACTGATTGGTTTGGCTGTGGATGATCTCCTGCACAGTAGCTTTCCTCTGGGAATCTCAGAATCACTGTTATGGGCAAGGGAAAACTAGCCCAAACAGGATGCTCGTGCTGTTGCTATGGGTATTAGTTGTCTCTGACCCAATCATCTTGTGTAAGCATCCATTAAACTGTGCAGGGTAATTTGGAAACAGATAAAAATTTCAGATACTTTATAGTAGTTGACAGACTGATCTTTAAAGTTCTCATATAATAGAGAAGTCTCAGATCCTTAAGTGTTTGATAGTTACAGATTTTAAAAGAGTCTATGACATCCTTCAGCTGTCACTCTGACACAGCCCAGGACATTTACATGTATAACATTTGAGTTTCCTATTCAATCCTAGGAACATCTCTAGAATCAGGTAAGTTTCCTTTATATCTAATCAAGGTTGTAAACTTTCCTTTTTCTTTTGGTTCTTTGAGACCCAGTTTCTCTATGTAGCCATTGGCCGTCATGGAACTAGCTCTGTAGAACAGGCCGGCCTTGAACTCAGAGATCTGCCTGCTTTTGGCCCCTGAGTGCTGGGGTTAAAGGCGTGCACCCCCCACCCTCCTCTTGATTTTTTGAGATAGGGTTTTTCTGTGCAGCCCTGGCTGATCTGGAACTTGCTCTCTAGACTGGGCTGCCCTCAAACTCAAGATCCATTTGCCTTGACCTCTGGAGTACTGTGATTAAAGACCTCTGCCACCACTGTAAACATTTAAAAATTTTAAAACTTAAATTCCTCTGATGCATTTCCATTGCAATTATCAATGGAATTGCTTGTCTGTGTATGGTGACACACAGGAGGCTGGGGCAGGAGAATCACAAATTCAAGGCCTTATTGGACTACACCCTGAGACCTTGTCTCCAGAGGGAAAAAGCAGCACTTATATTTTATCTTTTCCATTCTGCTAGAACAGCTTTTACAGGCTAGAGACGGCCTATCAGTTATTAGTATTAGCTGCTCTTGCAAAAGACCCAGATTCCTGATGCCTACACAGAGTGGGTTGCAATCTCCTGAATCTCCAGCTTCTGACACCATGCCTTTGCTTTGTTATCATGGATTCTAACTCCCTGAAACCATAAGCCCATGGTGAATGCCTTAGTCATGGTATTTTATCACAGCAACAGAAAAGTAACTGAGACATGTACAAAAACCATGATTGCTAGTTTGGTCATTATCATTTTGTATGTCACACACATATCACATTTTCTCACTAAAACTTTGTGCACAGGATAGGCAGTCTAATATGCTAATGACAGCAGACATTTCATTGAATTCATATTGTTCCTAATGGTTTTCTGTGGACTCTGTTGGGCTCTCTAGGCACATAATCAAATCCTATGTAAGTGGAGACAACCATGGTCTCCTTTCCAAGTTTTCTAGTGTTTACAGACAACCTTGCTCTTCTACTGGCTCAGCTCTGCTGAGCAGCATCAGTGAGTGGTGATGCTTGTCCTTGCCTCAGGAGTGGAGCTGTGGCCTCACAGGGGCTGTACTGTCTCAGGCAGCTCACTCAGGGAGGTAGTGAGTAGGAAATGCCCTTGACCTGGGCCTATGCTTCAGTATTGGAGCACAGTCTGAGTTAACTTACGAGCCACTTTACCTGGTTATGTGAAATTTCTAGTCTGCTTAGTTTCTATCACGTGCATAAGAAAAAGCATACCAACCTCTCCTATTGACAACTTTTCTCTCACATTTTTCCAGTAAATGTCTTTATTTTCAGTGTCAGTGTAGAAAAGTAGCCACTCTGCAAAGTCTTCTTTTCTCATAAAATTCAGACCTTTAGAAAACTGAAGGAATTCCATTTCTTGAACTTCTGTTTGTAAATTTTCCACAAATCTAAATATTAAAATAAGAAACTGGTATAAGCAGCTGGTGGCATTTGACCAGCAAGGCAGCCCCTCTTTCCAACCAAGTAGCTGGCCTCTGGCAGGAGAGCAGAAGGTAGCCTCAGGGCTGTGTAAGGGGAGAAAGGAGTAGAGAAACTGGTGAAGTCCAGTTCCTGTTCACTCTGTCCAGCGTGTTTGTGCAGATCATACCGGCAACCAAAGCTGTGGTCAATGTGAAGGTGTAAAAGTTTGCCAACGTTATACAGAAAAACCCTGTCTAAAAAAGCCAGGGGGGGGGGGGGGGGGGGGAGAAGAGCCACAGAAAATAATATTCTGTGGAAAGCATTTTTTCCAATGTAGAAACATTATCAATAACTGGGAAAATGAAAATTTAGGAGAGGAAACTCCCTTTTAGAACCTTAATAATTAATGGTTTGTACTGTTTTTCAGACACCAAAATAGAAACAATGACTTTGAATCAGAAGCTTGGGTCTTCATGAAATTAATTATCTGTAGTCTTTTGGGCAACAGCATCAATCTATGGACTCAATATTCCTTTTTTATAAAGACAGCATGGTACTTTGATCAAAGTCACAGCAATAGGTTCCTGGGAGAATACAAGTTGAATAACTCTAAGGGTGACTTTTGTTCTCCGGAATGAGAATCTCGGGAGGTTGTGCTGGGCTTATCACCTGAGACGTGCGGAGGCATTATGAGAATCCTAAGTTTTCATGTTCTGCAATATGCTTTACAGTCTCTCTCTCTGCATGTCATATCACAATTTAAAATGGGTAGAATATATATATGGGATTTAAAAAAAAGGTACATTCATTCCACTAGGAGAAAGCCACCATGGTTTATAGCTTGCTTTAGGGTCTGCATTTTCCCCATAAACTTCAGGAACATGGAGCCTACAACATCTGCCAAATGTACCAGATGCACAAATTTTTCGACATTATGTTTCTTTCTGTGCCAAAGCAGAATTTTGTCTATAACTTAATGCATTTTGGGTTGAACTAGTTGGATAGAGAGGTATTGTACTGGTATGTCTTCCCTTTTATTTTACTGCACCTTATCGTACTGTGTACTATGATAATATTCAATGACTTTTATTTTTTATTGTGTTCGTTTGTATGTGGGGATGTGTGTTAGTATGTGTGTATGAGTATCTGTGTGTTAGTGTGTGTGGAGGTGCACGTGTTGTGTGTGTATAGCTACATGTGTGTTAGTGTGTGGAGGTGCATGTGTTGTGTGTGGGTGTGTATGTTGGGGTGCTTATGAAGGCTAGAAGTTGAAGCTTATTGTCTACTTTAATCACTTTCCCACCTTATTTTTTGGGACAGGGTCTGCCACTGCTGAGTTGGTGGCTCTGGCCGGGACTATTCTGTCTCCGCCTCCGCAGCACTGGAGTTACAGGCAGATGCTGCCATGCCTGCTTTTTCACATGGTTGCTGGCAAACATACTCAGGTCTTTGTGTTTATAGCAAACACTTCACTGACTGAGCCATCTCCTCAGCCCCTTGACTGATTCATATTAGGATTATTAAAAGAATGCTTTATTTGTAAGTAAATAGATAGCAAACGAAGAGACCTGGCACAGCAATAGAGCTGTGATCTCATTTCCCCCTCGGTCTTCTGAGACAGGAAGAAGGTTGGGAAGGGGTTGGCAGGCTGGCCAACGAAGTGGGGCAGGAGGTGAGGTACTGTGCTGGGCTGCTGAAGTGCTGGAGGAGAAGTAGAGGAACCAGAGCCACCAGAAGAAGGGAATTAATTGTACTTGATGACCAACTGGACAGAGAATGAGAGAGAAGCCAGAGGTAACACCTTATTCTGAGTGGCACTGGTTACAGTGTGCTTCTGTTCACTGGGCTCAGTTATAAAAGGGAAGAATCCCTATCTCTCCTGGCATATCTCCTTGCAATGCCAAGGGCCTTTTTAAGAAAAACCATCTGGAAGGGGAGGAGGACCTCCCCTATCAGTGGACTTAGAGATGGGCAGGGAGGAGATGAGGGAAGGATTGGGAGGGAATGTGGGAGAAGGCTACAGCTGGGATACAAAGTAAATAAACTATAATTAATATAAAAATAAAAAAAAATTAATAAAAAAGGATATATATATGAAAAACTACCTGATAAATGTATGTGAGACCCTGAACAACTTCATTGGCTGTACACCTTTAGCTGGGGCTTCCTCTTTATCTACTCCCAAATTCCCACATGGGTAAGATCAGGGAGCAGTCCTTCTCACTGACAGAGCACACCACGCAATGCAGCTGGACAGTGTGCATGTCTGCCACATAGCTTGCGAAAGGGGCCATGCTAGCATTTGAGTTGCAGACTGACATGCAACAGCGCATGATACACATATGCTTAGCATTTGAGGCACAGACTGACATGTAACAGCACATGGTAAACATATACTTAGCAAATCTTAGCAAAAATGCAGTGAGCTGAGGAAGGTGCAGGTCCTCTGCCTTCCATATCAGTATTTTCCTGTGGTTCTGCTGTTTTTAGGACCTACTTTGAAACAGTGTTTAAAAAACTGCTGCGGGGAGGCAGTCGTAATCTCAGTGAGAAGGTAAGCAGAGCTCCGCCACGTTAATGTCTACAAAAATCCGATAATCTAAGTATCATCAGCCCAGTTTTACAAAGAAATGAGTTCAGGGAAGTTAAATGAACTGCTTTAAGGCAGTAAAGCTTTTTGAGACCTGGAGCTGTCTGCCTCCTAGTGCACTGTTTTCACAATACAGCTGTCAGGCTCTGTGGATTTACTGCTGGGCTCTGCAGAACAGAGCAGAGCCCCAACATTTTAAAATTTTTTGTTTGTTTGTTTTTGGTTTTTGAGATAGGGTTTCTCTGTGTAGCCATGGCTGTCCTGAAACTTGCTCTATAAACCAGGCTGGCCTCACAGATATTCACCTGCCTCTGCTTCCCAAGTGCTGGGATTAAAGGCGTGTGCCATAACTGCCTGGTTTTAGTGCAGAGGAAATCAGCTGATATCAGCCAGCACTGGCCCAAGCAAAGCTGCGCTCTGGGGCGCAGTGCATGGCCTTTGTTGGGCTGGTTTGTTTTGTGTGAAGAACAAAGTGGCAGGGTGGTGGTGGCACTCATCTTTAATCCCAGAACTTGGGAGGCAGGCTCAGGCGGTTCTCTATGAGTTCTCTGTGAGTTCCAGGATAGCCTGGTCTACAGAGTGAGGCCAGGACAGCCAGAGCTATGTAGAGAAACCCTGTCTCAAAAAAACCAACCAATGAATCAATGAACTAATCAACCAACTCACCCACCCACCCACCCAAATTGATGCTAAGGGAATGTTTCTTAACTGCCAGTATCAAATTACCAAAAGGAAATACTGCATTTTACAAATGCAAAACAGACATTATTTTTAGATAGGCTGGACTATTTTGAGACTAGTAACTTTATGTTTTATAGGTTAAGTTCTCAGTGAGAAAGCACTTAAAGATCCAATAAATAGTATCTAGGTTTATAGCCGTGGTTCTCAACCTTCCTAATGCTGTAACACTTTAGTACAGTTCCTCATGTTGTGGTGACCCCAAGCCATAAAATTATTTTCATTGCTACTTCGTAACTGTAATTTTGTTACTGTTATTAATCATAATGTAAACATTTTTTGATAGAGGTTTGCTAAAAGGATTGCAACCTGCTGGTTTAAAGTCTGAATTCTAGGAAATGAGTGTATATTCAGTTTTTTCATTTCTTACATATAAAATAAATAATTAATTCCCAAATAAATATGTTTATGCTTACCTTCGAAATTCTTTATAATGAAGCTTTTTTTCTCCTTTTTTCCCAAAGAAACACACTTGAAGGGTTGTGTTAATTCCAGGCTCTTTCACTGTTGGTTCCTATAAAAGAGGACAAAAAGGAACCCGTGGGCTGGGGTGTGGGAAATATCCACAACTGTGTCCTGTAGGACACGATGGGAGGAGAGCAGTAGCTCCTTCTGTTTCTATTACTTTTGCCTAATAGGACCCATTCCCTTTCCCTCCCTTCCACTTAACATCCCTTTGTGATAAAAGCCCCAGAGAACTACAGAAGGAACACACCCTAACAGGACAAACCGATAGCCAACATTATACTACATGGGTGAAAACAGTCGAAAATCTGGAAGAGTCAAGGGTGCCTATCTCCTGCCCTCATTTAATACAGCCGGGGTTTTCACACCTGGCTTTATGTAGTAAGCCCTTGTAATGCTCCTTGAAATGCTTCGGCACAGCTGCCCAGAGGTTCGCTCTGCAGCCCACATCACATAGTCTGGAGTCTGGAACCCAGCACCCCTTAGATCTCTAGCCTATTCTCCTTGCCTCACTGCTGATGTTTCTCGAAGAGTGCAGTTCAGACAGGTTATTATTGAACTCTGGTCAGGACCACAGGATTACCCTTCTCCAGAACCTGCCTGTTTAAAATGGGCTGCCTAACTCAAATAAATGAAAGACTCTGGTGCCTCTTAGCAAAGGTCTGCTGCCTGTGGAGGGGAGGTTGTTTTGGTTTTTGAGAGGATCTCATTATGTAACCCTGGCTGGCCTAGAACTTGCTTTGTTAACCAGGTTAGATTTGAACTCACAAAGATCCATCTGCCTCTGCCTCTTGCGTGCTGGGATAAGGATGTGCTCCCGCCAGAGGTTGTGATTTACTTACACAATTGAAATAGGTATGTGCTAAAGTGATGGACTGTTTCAGAAGTTTAAGAAAATCTCACAAGATGCAGTTAACATTAATAGGTTATCAGCTGAAATGTATTGGTATACACCACTGGTGGAAACGACAATTCATTTGTATCCCCTGCAACATAGTGGCTGGTATTTGTCAAAATCTGATAATCTTGTCAAAAGTCACAGTTTTTGGTCCAGCAATTGAATTTCTGGTAAGTCACCCCTAAGATACAGTCATCTGTGTATTAAATAGTGAAATCCTAGGATTATTCCTTGCAGCCTTATGAACTACTTCCCAAAAGGGGGATGACAGCATAAACATTATAGCTATGTAACAATGTACTCTGAAGCCATAATGAGAACGAGACAGTGAGCTAGGGAGATGGCTTAGTGTATAAAGCACTTGCCACACAAGTGTGAGGACCTGAGCGCAGACCCCCAGAGCCTACTGAGCGTCAAATGCAGCAGCACCCTCTGCAATCCCAGGCTCCTGCTCGGAGGCGGGAGGTGGAGACAGGAGGCTCCTCAACGAGGCAGGCAAGGACAGTATGAGAAGTTGTAGTCTCACAGCCACACCAGTGAGGCGGCACACATGTCCCCCCCTGCTGCCCATATGTTAAGATGTGATATTTAGGTATACTACGTGAAAATGAAAAATGTAGAGCAATATACAGTATACTACTGCTTATATAAAAACAAAAATCAAACTGGTGGGTGCTGTAACACCTCCAACTCTTTCACTAGGGAGGATTGCTGAAGGTCAATGTCAGCCTGAGCTACAGAGTGTGACCTTGTCTCAAAAACAAAACAAAACCAAAAACTCAACCAACCACCCACCACCACCACCAAGAAAATGACCGCCCATCTACCCAGGAACGGCACCTACTGCCCGGGGGTTGGGGGCACTGGTAGCCAGCCCTGTGTATAGGGTGTGCTGTGGCACCAAGTTCTTCAGAAATCCCACAGTGACCTGGGGAGAGGAGAGCTATCACCAACAGCACGTGTTTGGAAATGTTCACTTACATACCTGATATTCTGTCTCAGTAGTCTTCACGGTCTTGAATCGATCTTGCTTACTTATGATCTTCTGCAGCTGAAAAGAGTACAGGCACGAGCTTACAGGTCTGTCTAATGCAGTTTTCAAGCTAAGCTGAGAGCAGATGCTAAGCGGGCGTCTGTGGGCTGACTGCTGGCCATGTAAGACAACAGGAGGAAACAGATGGAAAGTCCACCATGGCCACAGCCTTCTGCTCAGCAGCAGCTTCTCCAACAGACAAGCTCGAATAGCTTCGAGGCTTCGTACCTCGCAGGTGATTTTTCTCAGGTGATTTTTATTCAGGCTTGTTTCTTACACCACTGATAGTTTACAGTCACAACTCCAAATACATGCTGCAGCCGAGGCTAGTCTTCTATATATGCTCTTCCTTTTATTTATTTGTAACATGTTGAAATACTGACAATTTTTGTTAATTATAAAACTATAACAGTTTCTTAAAACTGAATGTTAAATAACCTACCTACCTTTCAGAGTCATTTGTACCAGTCTTCATGTGGAAAGCAAATTAAAAGAAAAGGATTTAAAAAAATGAGATGTACACAAAATCTCAAACTATGGTTTAGATCAATTAGGAAACAAATCATCAGGACTTTTTTCTATGTAGTTTGTTAGTAATTTACAAACTGCTGACATTAAATCACAAATTTTCAATCTCAACTTGGCACCTCCTTTTCAGTTTGTTTAAGAAATGGGTCATGCCGGGTTTTGTAAAGCCCTCCCTCAGTGCCCCTCCTGGCTGAGGGGAGCAATGAAAAGCTTCACACCTTTTATGTCTGTCATTAAACCTCACATTTTGTATTCCTCCCTTTGCTCAACACCTTCACTTCTTTCATGCAAAAGCGAACATAATCCAGCAGAGAGAAGAGCCTCCTACAGCCGCCGTGAGAGCGGCACTCAGCCTCAGGCAGCATGAGCTATCTCGCTCAGTTTATCTACGCTTCACTTGCTGATCCCTGCCTCGTTACTGTTTACAGTGCTTCAGAAGAAAACAAAGCAGAACCAAACCCAGACCACACATTAAAATGCAGACCCATGCCTTGTATACGTGATAGCTGTTTTCTCTGCAGTCAGTCTGTTCTTCCTGAAGCAGTTGTTTTTTAACTCTAAGTTTACCCCACCTAGCTTTCAAGAGAAACTGAATACTCCATATTGTTTTGCATGTGCCTTTTTCCTTTCAGCATCTCTGTGGCTTGTTTCTATTCACCACTGAGCTGTGTTGCAGTAACTACAACACTATTTAAACTTATTTACTTGACTGGTGATCTAGGTCTGCTATGTTGATCATAATGAATCAAACTGTCACGACCATTTTTGTAGAGCTCAATTTTATGGACACTGGTTTAATTTTCCTTGGCTAGATATGCATGCAGCAGGGTAACTGCACTGTTTAACTTTATTTAAAAACAAAAACAAAACTGTCAAATTTCTAAAGTGAACTGAAGTCCTGGCTAGGCTGGAATTCACAGAGATCTACTTGCCTCTGCCTCCCAAGTGTGGGATTGAAGGCATGCATGCCCCGCCATGAACTGAAGTACATCCTCCCCAGCATTTGCTGTTATGGACCTCTTTAGCTTCAGCTAGTCTCTTGGGTGTATGGTATGTATCACCATGGCTTTAAAACTTCAACTTCCTTAGTGTGAGTGATAACATGCCTAACACTCATTCATGCACTTTTTTTCTTGTCTACTATAGTCTGGCCATGAAAAAAAAAAAAAAAAAACCAAGCTGTAAAGGTCATTATGTATTTTGGATTCAGTTCCTTTGTGAGACAAGGGTCTGGAAGTATTCTATCCTAATTTCTGTCCTATCCATTTATCTTCTTACCATGTAGCCCTGGGCTAGCCTTGGACTTGAGAGCCTCTTGTCTTAGCCTCTGAAGCATCAGTATTACAGGTATGCACCCATATGCCTGACCACACTCATTTCCTCACGGTGTTTTCCGCAGAATTTTTCACTGTGGTGCAGGCAAGTCATCATGGCTGTCTTTTGTGGATACTGTCTTCAGCGCCCTAAGAGACTACCTTGGGCTGGGGATGAAGTTCAGTGGTAGGGATTTACCTAGTATGTGGGAGGCCTTGGGGTTGCATTCCCCCAAACTGTGAACAAAAACACAAGAACTAAACCATACCACACCAAGCCAAATGAGTCTGTCTCTCCTAAATTCTGAAGATAGCTGGTGATATTTTCAACCTGGAAATTTAACTATTTTTGTGTATGGCTAGTTCCCTTTTCACACTATCAGTTTTTCTAGCACAACTTGTTAATTATAAAAAGGTTTCTTCCCCTATTTATTGACTTGGTGAGTTTACTGAAAAGTGAGCACAGAGTATAGACTCTGTCATTTTCCACTGATTGGCCTCCATGTTAGTGTCAAGAGTATAAATGATTTTGGTCACTTTGTGGGTGTTCTTTCTTTTCCACCCTTTTAGCTACTAACACTAGACAGGAGAGAAAAAGGATAGAGGAAAAGGGAACGAAGTTATCACTAGACTCCTTCCTGCTGATTAGGGACACCAGGTTCCTTGGGGCAAGTTTGATTTTCGATATCAGGATATCTAATTTCTTCTCGTTTTATTTTATTTATTAATTTTTTTGTACATACCTACTTGACAAACCGCAACCAACCAGCCAGCAAAAGCCACCCTGCCTCTCGGGGCTCCAGCAGTGCCCATCAGTCCAAACATTACACGCTCACAGAAACTATCAGCAGCTGGCAAAACCAGGCCCCTGCTAGAGCACAAGGCAAATCATAGTCAAGCTGTTGTCAAGCAGCCTCATATCCCCACACCTGGGATTAAAACGAAAACATATTCCTGTAACATTTCTGTTTTTTAAAAAGAAACCAAAATTATGACATTGGCACAACAGAGCCACAGAGCGCTGTCCAGTCCTGATGTCAGCTGCTGCCTCAGCCAGCTTTGCTTCTGTTTCTTAAGACTGACATTTCTCAGACCTCTATTTTGACATGTACACTTAATTATTTTTAATTTTTTTAAACTAAGCCTTCTTTTTGCAGTACTGGGGATTACAGCCCAGAGCTTTGTGTGTTTCAGAATAGCTTTTTCAACGTCTATAAAGACATCAGCTTGTCCTCTGCACCTTGAGGTCTGTGTGAACGGGTCCTGACACATCTGAACTTGTTAACATCTGTACTGCTCTACTTAGTCACACCTCCTCAGGTTCTACCAGCAACTCAGCAACACTTTCTTTGCTTTTTAAAGATTTATTTTACTTTATCAATGTTTTGTCTGCAAGCATGCATGTGTACCGCAGGACTGCTTGGTGTCCATGGAGGTCAGAAGTAGTTGGATTCCCTGGAACTGCAGTTATGGATGGTTGTGAGCCATCCTGTGAGTGCTGGGAACTGAATCTGGGTCCTCAGCAAGAACAACAAGTGTTCTTAATGCTGAGTCATCTTTCCAGCTCCTGCCAGAAATACTTGATGTTTCAGTGTAAGCTTTTTGTTAAACTTATTCATAATTACTTTCTGTTAGTTTATTTTGTCCTAGTAGAACTGACTTCCCAACTATTTCTGCCACAGGAATACATTTAATTTCTGTATACTAATCTTCTCTCTCGGGCTCATTTTACACTCACTCACTGTGCTTTTGTTTTTGGTTCCTTGGCATTTTCTATGGATTTGTGTCAGCTGGAGATAAAGCATGATTTGACTTCTTCCATTTTAATCTTTTCCCCTGTGTTTCTATTTAATTTTCTCCTCTTGAATGGCTGCTATTACTAGAATGTCCAGCAGGATGGTGAACATGCTTTATAAACAAAGCCTTTGCTCCTGATTCTGCAGTGAAGGCACTCAAAAGTCCCCCACCCCTCAAGCTAGATGCTGGGTTTGCTTTTTAGTTTCTTGGTGCTGGAGATTGAATGCAGGGTCTGATACAATTTGACCATACCCCAGACTCTCTAAGCTTTTGTAATGCTCTTCACCAGAATTAAGATACTGTTTTCCTACTTCACTGATCTTTAACAATGATTCATTTGGTTAAGTGTTTTGTGTACACTGACATGATTAGCGGGCACAGTGGTGCATACATGGATCTGCTGCATTTGGAGGTGGAGGTAGGAGGATCAGGAGTTCATAGGCAGCCTGGGTGTTGGACAAGAGCCGTCTCAAAAAGCTAAAGGTCAACAAAGAAATGGACAGCATATGTCTACAGGGCTCTTCTGCCCTGTCACTGTGCCACAGGGTGGACTGTGTAGACCGAGTTCTTCCCTACGGAGCTGACTGGCATTTTTATCTTCACCTCATTCACACAGGGACTGGTTTGCCTTTTCTGGACAAGTACTTCTGTATTTTGGCTTATGAGAAGAGGACTAGGATTCACTTCTTGGCAGGTTTTTCCCAGGTTTTAGTTGCCAGGAACATCATGAACTTTCTTTCCTTTGTCTTGGGTTTCTGGTGGTTTTGTAGAAGTTTGGCATCACCTCCATTTTAGTCCCAGTGAAGCCATCTGCATGAATGTTTTTGTGGGGAGATTTGGAGATAGTGATTTCCAGGCTTCTGATAGGCAGTTGTTCATATTTAGAAACCACGTCTTGTTAGTTATGTTGAAGACATGAGTCCACTTCGTCTGAGCATATATGAACTGTCTGTCACAGCACTTTAACTCTGTGCTGGGTCACCTGTAGCATCTGTGTCACTGTCTCCTTTGACTCAAAGTATTGTTAATGGATCCTTCCTTCCTTCCTACATTATTATTAATACTGGTGGAAATTCATCATTGTGTCTTCATAATTTAATTTTGCTGCTGTTATAAATCGTAATGTAAACATCTGATATTCGGGACATCTGGTACGTGATCCTCAGGCTGAGAACCACGGTGAGAATCTAGATTTGCTTCTGAGCAGTTCTAAGGGATCTGAAGCTCTTGTCTGGTCTTATGGGCACAAAACACCAAAACATAAAATAAATCTCTAAAAAGTTACTGTGTAAAAAGTAGTTTTTAAAAAAAACATGCAAATAGACGTTTTGCCTGAATGTATGTGCTACATGTATTCCTGCTTGAGACCAGAAGAGTGTG